GTGGACACAGTGGGTTAATCGGCTGAAACAAATAGAGACATGTTTCTGCTGGCAAAATTGACGCAGAAGCGTGGGATGCCTCTCTGTGATCCTTTGCGATAAGATTTTTTTTTTTTTTTTTTTGGTTATTTCGTGAAAATTTTGTAAAAGGACGGGTTTCTGATGGCTGAGAAATAAATGTTCCGCGATTTTTGAATTTCGTGGCTGCGGTGCACTCCCGAGTTGGGCCTGTTCTTATTTTTTCTTTGTCTTACGCCCGTGCTGTGTTGTTGTTTCTCTTCAGTTGCCTGATTCTTCTTGTTTTCTTTTCTTTTTCTTTGCGCACCTACATGCACACGTAGCCCCACGCAGACGATATGTATGACATGACGATGCACCTGGATGACCCTTTCTTATTCCCTGCTGGCCTTTGCGTGTCGCTGCTGCTGTGTCCGAACTAGGAGGAGGAAGGACACACGGATAGTGCGGTGTGCTTCTTTTTCCCTGTGGGTGTAGGGTACCGCGTGTGGCCGTTTGGAGTGAGGCGCCGCGTCATGGATGGGTGAGGACCCATTTTCGCGTGTGGCTCTTTGGGTGATTGCTTGCTCGGTGTGCGTTGGCTGCGGGGCTGTGGCCGTATCCCGTTGCCCGTGGGATTGAGCCGGAGGTGGTGGCGGTGTGTTGCTTCTCGTTCTTGTCCATTGGTGGTTGATTGCTGGCGGTGTGTGCGTTTGTTGTGTGGAGGACCGAATCCTCTCACCCGCGTACTGGCAGCACTGCGATGGTGTGTGTGTGTGAGTGAGGGCTGGTGTGGAGTTGCCGGCCAGGGCGAGGGCCGTGGCGGTGCTTTTCCTGCTTGTCGTCTGTTCCTTCCGTGTGTGTTTGTGCTGCTTCTTGCTTTTTTCCCCTGTAATCCTCTCCTCCTGTGTTCCTGCGTGGAGTGGCGGCATGCTCACGGGCCATATGGATTGTGAGTGCCTCTTGACGGCATCCATTCATCTCCCTCCGCCTGTCTGTCTGTCATTCCCTGTTGGGTGTGGCGTGTTGCACCGCGTGAGAGCTGGCCCGCACACACCGACGGCCCGCCGTGACTTGCCGTGTTGCTGCTCTTTTCTGTGGGCGATGGTCCTCCGTGCCGTCCCTTCCGGATTGTCTTGTGTCCCGCACTCTGCGTGGGTGCTCTGCTCTGCTCCTCACTGACCTTTCTGGTGTATTGCCGCTGTTGCTACTGTTCTCCAATTCTTGGACACAGACACGCTAGGAAAGAAGAAAACAGGCGCGAATCGCCACCGTGAAATTCGAAGTCTCTGAAAGGACCAACAGCACACACACACACATCGCCCACATGCACACATATTTATATGCTCTCACGTGTTGCTGCTGTCAAGGCACCCCGCACACACAACCGTTGCCGCGTGACCGGATCCAGCGGAAGGAGGAGGGAAGGAGGAGATAGTGAGCCGCGGAGGCCCAACATGTCGCGGCGTGTGTTTACTTTTGCGGTGCCGCTACTCCTCCTCGTGATGTGCTGCGCCACTGGTGGAGCTGCGGCCGCATCGACGGGGGAGAATTAAGTGATTGCGCGGCTGCCGTGGGTGGTTTTTATTTTTGTTCTGGGACGAACGCATTTGGAACCGAAGGGTGGGACTGGTGCAAGTGGAAGGAGGGATTTGTTTGGATCGCTCGCTCTTGTGGGTGTCGGTGGAGTGACGGTTGTCTTTGATGGGGGTTGCACGATATTTAGTGATAGCGATGGGGCACCGAGTGGGCTTTCTCATGCGGATATTGTGGCGGGTTCCATCTTTTTTGCGTGGAATTTGTCGTCTTTTTTTGGCGAGTTTGATAATGGCCGGAATACACACATCGTGTTGAGCACAGCGTATATAAAGGGTGGTGTAGGCTCCGCGTCCAATCCCACGACAATTGAGAGCGGCAATAGGGCGTTTCTTCGTGCGGGAAGCTAGCAAATGTTTGGTACGAATGGTGGGTTCAATTGGGCATTGAGAGACCGTGATGTTCAACTGGTTGTGGGTGAATTCACGCAGCCCAATGACGGCAGACGGAGCGAGCTGATCCACTGGGGTGAACCCAAATTGCTGTGATCACAGATCATTCCCGAGACTCACGAACGCGGCGCGAATGGATTGATGGTTTTTGGCGGCTCAGGTGTTTTGAATGGCACGCTTGTGTCCCCGTGATTGCGTATAATGAAGAAAAAGACGATTTCTCCATGATCATCTGTTCGACGGACGGCGGCAGAAGCTGAGTGCTTCCAAAGGGCATTCTTCCTGCGGACTCCATTGACCTTCTCATTGCCGGGTGAGAGCTTGGACAACTTCTCGTGATTACTCATTGCTATGGGAGCCGGTACTGCAGAGTGCACGAGTCACCTGACAAGGGGACAATGTGGGTGGAAGTACCCGGGGCAATTGCGGGCGTATGGGCCAATTCACAATCGGGTCGTTGGGGCATGAGCTTGCGTGTAGGAGCCTTTGTCACTGCGACCGTTGGAGGAAGGAGCGTCATGCTGTAGGCTTGGAAAGTGAGCTCCCCGTGGTGGGAGAGTGAGGCCCATGCGCTCTACGTTTGGGTGACTGACAGCAACCGCGTGTTTTGTGTTGGACCGGCTTACATGGACGCTGCTCTGAATAAGCCGATTGCCAACGCCCTGCTGTGCTCGGATGGTGCGTTGTACCTTGTGGAAGCAAGGCACAATGAAGGGAAAAGCAGCCTGTTTCCTGCCTTCTCTGACGGAGGAGCTGCAGATGATCACTTCCATCCCCCGCAATTGGGCGGACGTGGACGCTTCCTTCTCCGCGTCGCCCATAAGTACGGTGGGTCTGGTTGGATATCTGCCCAACGCAGGCACTGCCAACACGTGTATCGACGAGTGCCGTTGCGTGATTGCAACGATGACGAATGAAAAGAATGCCACAAATGGGCTTCAATTCGCAGGGCAATGTTACCCGTGAACCGTTGGGAGGATAATAATCACTGTGGCTTTGCGAATTACAACTTAGCTCTTGTGGCGACGGTGGCTATTTGCGAGAAAAAACGCAGGCGTCAAGAGTATCCCTTTGATTGGCGTGAAGGAAGCAGGCCGCACTGTGCACTCTGGACTGTCGCACAGCCATGAAAGGAGTTGGGTGATGTTCAACGCAAACAAACACAACGGCTTTTGGGAGTTGAACAAACAATAACGAGTGATGCTCACGCTGCAGGACCGGCAACAAGGCCTTCGTATAGATCAATGGTGAGTGTGTGTGTGGGATGCTGAAACGACATCACCATCGGGAAAGGGGCCACGCACGAATTCACACTTTTAAATTGGAGGGGATGGAAGCAGTGCAAGCGACACCGGGAGCCAAAACAAATATGTGACAGTGACGAGTGTCTTCTTGTGCAACCGCATATTGACCAGGGAAGAAGCCGCAAAAGTTGGTGCCAGCAACCTTGCTCTTCCAGAGTTTCTTTCTGGGAAAATGCTTGAAGGGTCGGATGATCCAGCGGGAACTGGCAGTGGCTCCAAAGATGGAAACGCCTCTCAGCTCACGAACAACACTTTGTTGGACAAGGGCTCTAGTGGCTACGGCACGGTGCGTGTGTGTGTGTGCCTCGGATCTTGTTGCTTCTCTTTCTGGGGCTGTGGGCATTGCAGCTCTCAGCTGTGTGAGACGGTGGGAGTGGAGTCGCGACCCTCCGTGGAAAAGAGTGTGCAGCTCCTCAGGAAGACTCAATGCACTCCGTTGAGGACTTTTAAAAAATCCCTTTTGTTTTCACCTCTGGATATAATGTGCTCCTGGTGCCTTGTTGGACGGATCAGAACCCCTGCCTTTTTACCATTTTTTTAATTTATTTTTCGCTTGCCGCTAGCTGCACACTCTCATGAGTGACGTGTTTTCCCCTGTTTTATTTGCTTTTGTTGCACCGCACGCGGTGCCGGCCTCATTGTTGTGCAGTCCCGCGGACTGTACAAAACGAGGGGTGGAGGAAGAGGCCGAGTGCCTCATGAAATGTGAGGGATTTCGTGTGGACACGTGGAACACTGCGATCTTTTTTTTCTCTCTGTAAGAAACATATGGAGATGCACAATTCCTGCTGCGCTGAGGGATACATAAAATGAAAGTCCACTGAGGCGATTTTTTTTATTCCTTATTATAATTAATTAATTATTTATTTATTTCTGCTGAATCTACGCCTTTTTTTTTGGTTTTCTGTATTTGGCAATTCGCTGCGGCTTGTTTTATTATTTGCTGTGTTGAATGCCACTATGTGTCTTTGTGTCCCATTGGGTGCCCCACTGCTAGCTGTGCAGTTGACACTCCCTCATTACTTTTTCTTTTCTGCTAGAGGCATCGATAGTCCGCGACGATGATTGTTTGTGTTTACCCATTGCGATGGTACGAGGGTGACTGGGCGCCCTGATGAGTGCAGTCGGAAGGGAGCGGATGGTGTGCGCCGTGCCTCACTGTGAGTGTGGGACGCCACCCACCAAGACCTGCTGTGAGGCGTAACGCTATTCCTTCGGGGCAGGGGTAAGTAAAGGACTGTGGTGGACTTGGATGCACCTCGTTCCTCTTGTAGCGGCCGTGGGTGTGCTGTTCGCATTGCTGTTTTGCGGTACGATGTGGATGGCGGTGCTTCTACGTGTGCCTTCTTGAATGCACTGTGCGGCGGGCTTCTCTTCTCCATGTCCTTGCCTTTGCCCTTTTGTGAGTGGGGGTGAGTGTGGGTGGCTGTCGACCTGCCCCGAGCATTGGGGCCCTCCACACACGTGTGGCTCATCTTGGCAGCCTCTCGCAGCGTCCATGCCTCGTGACAGGGAGCGAGGGAAGAGTGGCGTGATTCCTCCTGCTATAGACCCATCAATTCCGAGCAGTCGGAGTGAAAATAAAGGGGACAAGCGTGTGTGTCTTCACCTTCTTGCGGGAGGACGCGCAGACGTTGGTTTTCTTTTGTTTTTTTTTGTTACTGTGTCTGTGTTGACGTTATTTTTTATTTTTTATTTTTTTTTCCACGGCCGTTCATTGTGCGATTTGCGCGTGTTTTGTGTTCAACGTTTTCAGCACCACCAAATGTGGTGTTGCGCAGGATCGGAACACATGGATGTGCGAGAGCATCGTGTCGCTCGCCCGTAATAACACACACGCACACAGTTTCAGTGCGTCTGATACGTCACGTTCTTCAGAACGGTCGAAATCACTTGTGGGACATCACTTCATTTGCGGCGTCGGGACGGCGAGGGAAAGGGAAAGGGAAAGGTATGCCGAGAACGCAATGCTCCTCCATAATACCGCAGGCTGGCGGCGACAAGGATCATAGAGCTTCTACTTAACATTGAGAAGACGGCAGCGCTTTGATGATCCGATTTTTGCCGCTTTAGGAACTCCTAATGTAGTGTACACCGTGTGGGCCTTTTTGCTGCGGATATGCAGAAGGGTGATGTGGGGTGGAATTATTGTTGAAGGCAGCACGGACGCCGCATAGCCTTTATGGGAGGGATGCGTGCTGTTATTCCGTGCTTCCTGGCCTGCGTTGTCGCACTCATGCAGTGTGTGCGGATGGCCAAAGTAGTGGAGCTGAATACGGTTCAATGTGTGTTGCTCACGGGGACTGCGCGACACATGTTTTTTTTTTTTGTTTCCCAAAGGAGGGGCGCATCGCCGTTGCGTGATTCCCGCGGCAGTCCATTACTCTGCGACTGTGCGTGCCGCCGTCCGCTGCGCCACTGCAAGTCTTCGCCTTTGTGAGAAATGGGGAGCGTGACTGCTGTGGCGGTGGTCGAATGCTCCCGAATTGGTGCTTTTGGTGATCCCACTTAGAGTGCCGAGCAGCGAGGGGCTACACACGCCCAGGAGGTGGGAGTGTGTGCTGCAACCGCACCTGCGATTTGTAGTTGGGATGTGACATGTTTCTTTGTTATTTTTGTTTTTGGTGACATGCGGGGCAGCGGTGTGTTTGCGTGTGCGGGCTGCTCATGGCTGCCGGTGTTGTCTTTCCTGCTGTTCTCCCGCTCCACTCCTTTGCGTGCGACGGACCAAACGTTCTTACGGGCGTGTGGTGGGGTCGCGTTCTTGTTTGGAAAAAAAGCCTTTCGCAGGCATAATGATACTGCCGTCCGTGCCATACGAGGCAGTGGGTAAGTTTCTGGGATTTATTGGCGGGGTGGCACCGCACCCATGCGGTGTGGTTGATTTGTATTCCGCAATGCACGGTGATGGGGATGGGCGGTGACAACTTTCTCCAGTAAAGCGACACGAGCAGCACGGGGAGCGAAACGGAGGAGTGGTGGCTGCGTACTTCCAAGTGATACGTGAATGGCGAATGGAATATGAAAGGCAGCGTCACGGCACTCTTTTGCGACACGCAGATGCTTTCCATAAAGCATGCAAGTTGCACTCTTTTCTGTTGTGTGTGGGATTACCATGATGCACCGCTGTTGTGGCGTGTATGATTTGTGCTCCCTGCGTGTTGCCGCTTCTGCACCGAATTCTCTTCCCACTTGTTTCTGTGCGTGTTTGTTAAGGACGATATGCACGCGCGCATCTATTCTTGTGGGGTGTGTGCGGTGTCGGCGGTGCCACACGGGTGCGGAACTGTATCGAGCGGTATGCGTGGGCGAACCCTCCGTGCCCACCACGTTGTTGTTATCGTTTGCTCTCACCAACACTGTGCTGGGTGGATGGCACCCACTCGCCGTCGTTGTGATGGTCCTCGTGCATTTGGTGTGCATCCCACAACGTGTGGATGACTCTCTTGCTGAGGCTGTCAGTCATGCCTGTGACCTTTGTCTCTTACTCTTATTCCTTTTTTTGCTTGGTGGTCAGTGTTCGGCTTTAACTCAATCCAACTACGAAAACAGGTATATAATCGATTCTCACGCGGAATAGAATAATAAATAGTCTTCTCTCAGGCGCGGAATTCAACGAAGGTGGCTGAAGGATGTACGTGCTGGAGGGACTCTACGAGTCTGTGTACAATGCGAGGTGGAGCCATGTTATGGAAGTTACTGACGGCGAGGGGACGGGAATGAAGGTGAAGGAGGGGAAACCACCGCAGTCATGGTCGTACAAGAAAGTTGGCTACACTCTTGAAAAGGATGACGGTGTGCAGCAATTTGGTGCAGAGCGTCTTAGGCTGATGGTGCTTACCTCGGACAAGGGATGGCCGTACTCGTGGGAACGGGAGGTGAGTGAATTTATTCATGACTGCTATTTGAACTGTGAGGTGGAGCGAGTGTGGCGGATCGTCAAGGGCGATCTAAGCAAGTGGTTCAGGAGTCACGGAAAGAACAAACCTTCGTCCAATAAGCGCCTGTTGATTGGGACGCCCGGGATCGGGAAATCTTTGGCTGCCGGTTCTTACCTCCTCTATCAGCTGCTGCACTACGATGCGGAGCAACTCCCAATGGTTGCGTACGTTATTGCGGGTCGAAAATACCTATTTGACAAGACCGCCAAAACGGTGAAAAAATACAGTGAGGCGTCTAACATCGTGGATGTTTTGGGCAGTTTCTCTCGGCGTGGGGTGAAAGGGTATATTATCTACGACATTGCAAGGGAGGGTCATGAACCGTCTACTGGTTTGCCTTGCAAGGGATGGGGCATGATTGTGGTGACACCACCAGACAAAAACAACTACGAATCGTGGGCGAAGCAAATGGGAGCGGAACAAATCATAATGAATTGCCCCGAAGAAAATGATTTGAAGGCAATGTGCGCTTGGAGGAAGCACAATGGGCAGCTTGAGGAGGAAGAAACGAAGGAAGAAGCGGACTACTGGAAAAAGGTGAAGGATCGCATGGATAAAGTGGGGCCGATTCTCCGCTTCATCTTTAATGAAAAAAAGTGTGAGGCTCGCTTTATCGCGTGTGAAGATGCCGTGGAAGCAATCACTCCTTCGATGCTACAGTATGACGCTGGTATTGGGAGTGGCAAATCGTGCAAAGGCAATAATGTGTCTCACAAGCTTGTGAAGGCTGTCCGAGTACGACGAAGAAACCTTGAATCGTCTTTGAATCTACTTATATCTCCCCATTTTGAACGTGAAACATTGTCCATGGTGGAAAGTGAAATGAAGCAGACGGATTTTTTTTTTCTCTTGTTGAGTATTTGGGATTATGTCTTACCACATTTTTTTGAAAAGTATGCCGTATCCGCATTTTTGAATGAGGACTTCCTACGTGCCATAAGACTTAAAATTGAGGAACTGAAGCTACCAGGACGAGGTGAGTCACACACCTGTGCGCTGGTAAAGTATTCTTACAAAAGCTTCACCAGGAAAGAGTTTTTACAAGTACCAGACAACCCTTCTAATCGGATCGCCATAGAGTACTGGGTGCTGTATGAACCGAGGGTCAAAAACTTTCCGTTGGTGGACGGCTTTTTCTTTGTGGACTCAAACCCGAAGACGCTGGTTGGGCTGCAGATGACTACGGCAGGTGAGCACCACACCATACCCAGCACTGTGAGGCAGTTCACTGAGTGCCTGGCGGCGTATTTTAATGGTTGGGAGGAATTATCCCAAGACATGTTGTGGGATATTATTTATGTGCAGCACGCAGACAGCACGCCGATGAATGGCTGGCAGAGATGTGATGTTGTCCGCTCTGAGAGTGTGAACGAGGAGAGCCGTGAGATAGCGGCGTTCTGGAAGGAAAAGGTGCATCAGTACCGAGCAGCAGTATCATCCGCTGACGCCAGAAGAGAGAAAGCTCTCCGGAGGTGAGGAAAAACGAAATAGGAGAACGAATTAGGGAATGAAAGGGGTAGTTTTGATTTCTGTTAAAAAAATAATGTGGGAGTTATATATTTTTGATAATTTTGCGTGCATACCGTGCAGGGCACCAGCGCCAGCGACAGTATATCGC